AAGTTTTTAAAGCCATTTTACCCCTAATCATAGACAAGGATTAAAGATCTTAAAACATGGCTGTGATCAGGCAATTTTTTTCTGGCATACTTTTGTAAGTGCAGACTAGTGTCTGCACAATTTAGGATGAGGGCTTGATATTCTTATACTTCCCAGATAGTACCCTTTTGAAATCTATGATATCTGTATCTATCTATCTCTCTATATATCTATATCTATCTATCTAAAATTTATTTATCTATCTATAATGTTCTTGAGTCTTAGTCTATCCTATTCATTAATAAAGGAAGAATTAATGGAAAAGCACAGAAATTATTTAAATCAAAGTGGAAAAAACCTTGTCCCATGGGTCCTCTGACATGGGTGAGATGTGCTGCTGTGAACTCAGGTTGATTCCTTCAACTCCTCCCTACTAGTCTACAGAAAATGAAAGACCACACAATAGTCATTGCTCACTTCTAACCACATGCTTAGAAAAAGTTATCATAAGTACTGAAAACGGAGCAATGAAAGATCTTACTTTGAATTAGTGCTGTTCTTTCCCTGAACCAGTTTAGAGCTGGAGTTCAAGTTTTAGCTCTGAATTCATTCTGCTTAAAGTTCTACTGTATAAATTTGAGATGATTTTCTACTTGGTTAGCAGAAGCTGTCTAGTTCTAATACCATTTGTTTAGTATTATAGACACTGATTTTATGATTTGATTCTGAGTCTCTGATTGCTTACTATTAAGACATATCAAGTTTTGTGATGGAGAACAGCATTTAGAAATGAAAATCAAGAAATAAATTTCCACAAGTAGGTTGTTTCCTTTTTGGAGGTTTCACTTAACAGAGGTGTAATACCAACCATCACCATCGGAAAGATTTGCAATTGTAAGCTAATGGATAATTAGTGTTCTATGATTGCAATCCCTTGACTGGGAAAATATCAGAGAAAGAGAGTAGAGAGGGTAATTGTAGTATGTCTTTTGATGCCCAGAAATCAGCTTAAATACTTACCATTGTTATCCTGTGGCAGAGATGGGCATTTCTATGTACATTTTTAGGTTACTAGTTGCAGTACAAGGACTATGTTTTCTGCTGAGCTTAGAGAGTAAAGATAGTGTTTATGTTCAAGGGAACCTGAGTTTACAGGAAATATCACAGCTTTTCCCTGGTCTCCTCTAAAACATCTGTGTCCCTCCACCGTCATGGTCTGCAAACCTGATCATGTCTACAGAGCTGCCTAGTAGCTCTTTGATTTTCCTCATCAGCACTCTCACCTATTCTTCAGAATGACAGTTTCAAAGTCAGTGCCATCTCTCCAAACCATTTGCCCTAACCCCAATCCCTCATTCTCAGAAAATAACCTTTCCTCCCACTCAGTGGAGAAAATAGGAGTCATCACGAGTCAACTCTTTCCACTTGCTGACATCAGCAGGTACCTATCCAAGGTCCTCTTTCCCATCTCTCTCCCACTCACATTCGTCTACCAAAATTGCTGTCACAAATGCTGCACATGGATAAGCTTCACTCTTTCTCTTATTTGACCTCTTCGTCAGTTGACAGTAGCAAGAATTCCATGGTTATTGAAGGATTCTCTGTACTTCCTCCCCTCCTTCCTAGGGTCATTTGGTGCTACATTTTCCTCAAACTGCTTTGGCTGTTCCTTCCTTGGCAACTTTGTCTAGATGTTTTCATTTGATTGTTATTAAATATGCATTTTTAGTGGGTTTTTGTTTTTAAAATAGATAAAAGAATTATTGCAAACAGTACAAGAGTGAGCAAGACTTTTTTTTTTGCCAGCAGTTAAGAGAAAAAAATTGGAAAATCTTGTCTCAGCCTTTTTACTATAATGTATTTCAATTGTTTTTGGAGTCAATAACGATGTTTAATTAATGCTAATTGAATACACAGTAGTAAATAATATACTGAAGAAAGTTATTCATGATTTCAGCCCTGTCCACAGGATTAACTCTACTCTGTTCATTAGGTGAGGCTCACCCTAAATCTCCTCAGTCATTACTAGCATGTAGGAACCCAAACCCTTTCTTCAGCAGTGACCGCAGGTTGTACATAGTTGTTTAATTGTGTTGAATTTAATATAATTGTGGTCATAGTTTTTTCTATCTCCATAAGGTTTTTCATAGACCCTTCCAAGTTTTATGACAGGAGCATATTTACGTCCATCAATACCTATGTTACTTACCTCAAGACTTTGTGCAGACTCTTTGGAGACTATCAACCCCTAAGTGTTTTGATAAAATGTAAATGATACCATGATATAACCTATTCAATTAATTAATTTCATCTGAAAAAGAGTGTAGTTTAAAATTTTCTGAGTTAAGTGACTATGCATTTTTGTGCTTGGTTTTTTTCCATTCACTAGAATGTTACAGATACCCCATTTAGTGTTTCATATTGGGGCAATACTATAGGGCAAATTGGACATGGCCATGGAACCATGTAGTACAAAAAAAAAAATCATAAAAGCTTTTAAAAATATGTTTGAACAAAAATTCTGAAATATTTTAAGTTAGTCTACTAGTCAGCTTTCTATTATTGTGACAAAACACATGACTCTTGCAACCTAAAAAGGAAAGATTTATTTTGACTCATGGTTTCAGAGGCCTCAGTTCATGGTTGGCTGGCTGGAAGGAAGGAACATCATGGCAGAAGGGTACAGTGAAGGAAAGCTGTTGAACTGACGTTATCTGGTATGCAGAGAGCCAGGGAAGAGCCCAAGGGAAAAGGACTAGGGACCAGATATAGTTGCCAAGGACACAAGTCTGCAGTCTATCTAAACACACTCACAAATGTGCTCTACTAGTCTCCTAGGTCTCTTTTAAGCCAATTAGGTCCACAAATGAAGGTTAACCATCACAGTCATCATTGGCATATTACTTCACTTTTCAAGAAAGAAATTCCTTAGGTTAATAAGAAGCAAAATTTTGCATGTTATTGAAATTAAGTTAGAATGAAAATGAATTAGACTATAATGGAAAAATGTTCACTACAATCCAATGGACATAGATAGATGATAGAAAGATAAATAGATAGATAGATATTATATATATATATATATATATATATAAGAGGTCGTCAAATCAGTTGAAAATAAAAGAGATATTCCATGTAATCAATAAAGAAAAAAAGCTGGAATGGCGACATATGTAAAAAAACAAAATTTAAAAAACAGTCAAAAGCAGTGTGGCAGAGAAAAAGAAGGACATTGTACACTGACATAAGGGCCAATCCATCAAGAAGCTATGCAACCACAAATATAGATGCACCAAATAACACAGCTTTCATAGTACATGAAGAAAAGCCTGGGAGGATTGAAAGGAAGGACAGGTATATTAATAAGAAGAGTTGGAAACTTTAGTATTTCACTTTTAATTATAGGATAGCTAGAAGGAATACCAATAAGTAAACAAGGAACTTAGACAGCAGTATAAGCCTAATAGATCAAATGGGTATCAATAAAGCATTCCACACAACAAGAAAAAAGTGCATATTAATGCCAAAAGCACATGGAACATTTTTCAAGAATGACCATATATTGGGGCCATGAAACCAATCTCCATTAGTTTAAAACATATGAAAATACAGATGCATGTTTTCTTATAGCAGTGAAACTAGAAATCACTTGCAGAAGCTAATCATAAGTGGGGATACTTAATAAACTCCTGAATAACCAATGGAGCAAAAGAGAAACTACAAGAAAAATTTGAATAGTCATGAAATGTATAAAAAGAGAACAGACCACCAAAGCTTATAAAATGTTAGACAATGTAGTTAAGGGTGAATTTACAGCTTAAAGATCTACAGGCCAACTTTCATTAAACAGAGAGATATCAAATTAATGACCTATCCATCTATCTTAATAAAATGTACAAAAAGAGAAAACTAAACCCAAAGCAAAGTAGAAAAGAAATAATGTATATTATTAGAGTGTAAATAACTGAAGAGTGTTGGAAAAAGAGAAATCAGTGGAACAACACTTGAGCCTTGGAAAGATAAAATAATTAGACAAACTTTGTTTTTGGTACACAAACTTAAACTCAGTACTTTGCACTTTCCAGGCAGGTGCTGTGCCACTGAGCTCTACCTCTAGAACCAATTCGACAAACTTATAAGTAGAATAATGAAGAAAAAAACAAAACAAGACTACTAAAAGCAGAAACAGCAGGAGAGACATTACTATTTATCTTACAGAAAAAAACAGATTATAAGTGAATTCTATGAATATTGTATTTCAATTATGTAATTTGGATGAAATGCACAAATTCTTGAAAAAAAGTAAGCTTCCAAAATTAATTCAGTAAGAAATTAAAATCTGAATAGAACTACTATAAACAAAATGACTGAGTTAGTAAAACTCCCATCAAAGAAAAGTCCAGGCCCAGATGGTTTTACTGCTGTAATGTAACAAGTATTTTTAAAAGAATTGATACCCATCCACTTCCAAATTTCAGAAAATACAAATGATGGGAACACGTTTTACTCATTCTGTGGGGCCACTATTATTTTAATACAAAAGCCAGTAAAGACATCACAAAAGAACTACACATTAACGTCCTTACAAATGCTGATGGAGAAAAAGCCTCAAAAAAATGTTATAAACTTGAGTTCAGCATTACACAAAAAGTAGTTATATACCATTCCAAAGTTGAGTGTATCCTATAAATGTAGTCAGTCACATATTAAAACAAACCAATGTAGTACACCATGTTAATAGAATAAAAGGAAATACATGTAATCATCTCAAAAGCAAAAAATAATGTGAAAAACTCCAGCACAATTTCATAGTTCAAACACTCAACAAATTAGGAATGTAAGAGGGCACTGTGTACCTGACAAAGGACGTTTCTGAAATACCCATAAGTAACATCATACATAATGGAGAAAGACCAAAAGCTTTCTCTTTAAAATCACAAACCAGACGAGGATATCTGTTCTTATCACTTTTTCTGAACATTCTTATGGTTTAGATCTAGAATGCTCACCAAAATACTCACGTATTCAGAAGTAAGACTTCTGGAAGGGATGGTGTCATGGGGCACTACACTCGCCAGTGCTGAGTTCAGAGATGAATGTGCTGATAGTGGGAAAGTCATGGCTGGAAGAGCCGGAGCAGTGAGTGTGTGACCTAGAAGGGTTCATTTCTATCCTCTGCTCCTCCATTTGCTCTCTGCCAGCCACAGACCAAGAGAGTCCAAATAAACCTCTCCTCCTTTAAGTTGTGGGTGTTGGGTGTTGTGTCCAGTGATAGGACACTGAGTAAGGTAACTGAATAGAATTGCTAGTAAGGAGTCAGGGCATTGAGGCAAGAAAAGGAAAGAAACTTCATCCAGATTGGAAAGAAAGAATTAAAATTATCTATTTGCTGGTGACATGCTCATCTACATATAAAAAGAAAAACACTAAAGAATACACATACACACAACCAGAGCTAGTAAATGTGTTCAACAAAGTTATAGAATACATTACTCGATAATCAATCAGAAAATATTTTAAAAATCTATTTAAATGTTATGCCTATATTTGTTTAACTGAGTAACTAATATGAAGATAACAATATGTAATACAACAACCCTTGTTAATTTCCCATCACTTTGTCTGAAATTCTGTATTGCTTCTATTTTTTTGGTATTGTTTTGTTTATGTGTGTTTGTTAATGTGTGCTCTTTCTTTTATCTTCAAAATTAAAAAAAAAAGAGAGTACCTCAGGTTAAGGAAAATCATATTGAAATAAATAATATTCTTAGGAAAAATTTTAAATAAATAATTGCATTTATTTAAATAAATTATTGTATACTAAAAACCAGAAAGAGTATGGAAAGACATTTAAAAATTCATGTAGGGCTGGGGATATAGCTCAGTGGCATAAGTGCGAGCTTGGCAAATGCAAGGTCCTGAGTTTGATTCCCGATACCAAAAAAAAGAAAGTCTTAAATAAATGGCATGACCTTCTTTGATAATGAGTTATAAAGCTTACTATTGTTTAGATGGTAATAGTGTACTTTCTAAATTGATGTATAGATTCAGCACAAACCCCTATGAAAATTCCTAGTCCTCCTCTTTTATTGTAGAAAAAGACAAGCATTACTGAAATTTATAATGAAATTTAAAGGATCTCTGAAAGTTAACACAATCTTTAAAAATTAAATGAAAGGCAGAGGACTTTCAATTCCCTGTTTCAAAACTTACTTTAAAACTATCACTATCAATGTGTGATAAGTTAGATATATAATCAATAGAACAAAGTTGAGTTAAAAATGAATCTATTTATTGTTATCAATTTCCAACACAATCTTTTCAACAAATGGAATTAAAAAACTCCATGTTCACAAACAAAAGAATGAAAATTGAGAAAATGATTAACCAAGGGAGCACAGATCTAATTAGAAGGACTAATAGTATAAACATTTTAGAAGGAATAGACATAAATCTTTATGATTTTGGACTTGACAAAAATTTCTAGGTATGACAGTAAAAGCACAAGAAACTAAAAATAGGTATTTTGGACTTTAAATATGAGAATTTTGTACTTCAGAAAACATTATCAGCATAGTAAAATAGCAATCACAGAATTAGTGAAAACATTGTAAATGTCCCATCTGATAAGGATATATTATCCACAATATAAATATAACTCTTACAACATACACAAAATAATGAAATTATAAGAATGGAAAAAGACTTAATTAGATATTGCTCCAAACCTGTCATTAGAGAAATACAAATCAAAACCACAGTGAGACAGCACCTTATATCCACAAGCATGTCCATTAAAAAAGAGAGAACAAATAAATAAGAAATTTTTGGTGTGAATGTGGAGAAGTTTAAATTACAGTCACTGCTAATGGGATGATAAAATGCTAGCTATGGGAATTTGAATTCCTCAAAAAAGTGAACATACAGTTACTATATCTCACAGCTATTACACATCTGAGTGTATACACAAGAAAATCGAAAATAAATACACATAAAACGTGTGCATTAATATTCGTAGTTACTTGTAACATGAAAAAAGTGGAAAAAATTCAAGTGTCTATTAAGTAGTTAATGAATCAAATGTGGTATATCCATACAATGGAGTATTATTTTGACAAAAACAGGTATTGAATCTAGCTAAAACAGGAGAGGGAACCTTGAAAATATATTCCATGAAAGAAGCTAGTGACCAAGGGCCACCTAATATATGTTTGTATTTCTATGGAATGTCCAGGATCACCAAATCCTTGAAGAAAGAAAGTGGAGCAGGGTTTTTGGCAAGGAGATAGGGAAAATAGGAAGTAGGGGTCATTCTGAATGGATTGACAGAAATTGTAGAGAAATAGTGGTGACGATTGTGCAATGCTACAATGTGTATATAAAAATTAAAATTAAAAGTCATGAGTTTTGTTGCATTACCTGAACTATAATAAAAAGAGTGATTGAGCCTCCATCAACTCAAATTCCCAAGTGACTATAAACAGCAGAATCTTCCTGCCCATCACATTAAAAATAAGGGAGAAATGAACTTCTTTGAGTCACTGAAATTTGTATTATCACAGGAAAATGCCTCTATTCAAACTGATGTTCCCAAAGGATAAGAAATATCTGTCTCTGGCTACAAATTAATTTAGCAAGTTTGTTCCCTCTCCAAACAGTGAGACAAATTTCAGTCGCTCCACATATATCAGTTTCAGAATCCTGCAGCCCATTGGGAAGCAATTTGAGTTTGTAGCATATCTCACTGTGCTACTGAACATACAACAACCATCTGAAAGTGTGACGGAACTGAACCCTGAAAAATGCACATCAAACGTTTGGAAAATAAACCCATAAGCAAATACTACATGTTTCCAAATTTCATCCAATGTCTTCCCTGGGGTTTCATTTTATTGTCATTAGGGGACCAAAGTAAGAAGGTCAGATGCTGGATAATGATGCTACAACAAAAAAATATTTGTTTTTTCTATTCTAACAGTTGAAACTTCTTCCAAACAAGACATTGATATGTGAATGGCACAGTACTACTTTTAAAGTGAATAAAACTTGACCTAAACTGAAAGTGTACAAGGCTGTATGAAGATTTATTGAATGTGAATCTGCCAAACTTCAGCTTTTGACAACCATTTAATACTTTTGAAACACATTCATTTTTTTCTATTTTAAAAATGTTTGTGTAAACACAATACCTCTATCACACTTCTTACTCCACTTTTTAAATAATTATTTTAGATGTAAGAGTGTTAATGTTAACTTCATTTCCTGAAAGCTCATAGGAAGATTTCTCAAATCAGATGTATGAAGGCCATGTTGTTCTTGAGCTGGCCATTTTCTTTCCCAACAAAAAGTAGAATTTTTCAGTAATATCCTAATTATTACTCTTGTTGTAATCATTTGCAACTGTAATGGGATTTTTAGATAAATAATGCAAATGAGGTGGGTGTGTTGGCACATGCCTGTAAATCCAGCAGTCTGGGAGGTTGAGGCAGGAAGATACAAAGTTCAAACCCAGCCTGGACAGCATAATAACTCCGTGATATCTTGTGTTTTTACTGAAAAAAAAAAAAAAAAAAAAAAGGAAAGTGCAACTAACTCAGCTTGTATCACTGTTTAATTTAAAACACTTCAGAATTCTTACAGCAACATCCACAAAACTTAATATAGTCTACATAAACTAACATGATCTGGCCCTTGCCTGTACTACTGATCCTCCCCGTTTCCAAATCCTGAATTCATTCAATCCCAAGGCACTTCTTCTTGTCTTACATGTTCTTCCTTCCACTGAAGATTTCACATACTTGGTTCCTTCATGTCTTTGTAGCCATAGGTCAATCACCCACTCTTCAGAGACAGAACTTACCTGATTACCCTAGCAAAAATTTTCACATGAGTTTCAATGGCATTGTTTTGTTTCCTCATCTGTATCCTGGTTTATTTACTACAGTCATGGTTTATTGTCGGTATTGTGCCTCTAGAAAGAAAACTGTAAGAGCAGAAAATGTAAACGGAGTGTCTAGAAGGTGCACTACCATTATGGAGTGAATGCAATAATGACTAATTCCGCGAAGTCTAACATGGCCCAGCACAAATAGTATTTGATGTTCTCCGTCTCCCTGCCCGACACTGGCGTACCTTCACACATAATTTTCCCCAAATCTCTCAACAACTCCTTTGTCAAACAGCGAATCTTGAACATTCTCAAATCAATGAGCTACTGCACTCAGTGTCACTTTGGAATTGTATAAATAATCACTCATTTGTACCATTCATTAGGGGGCACATCGAGACTTGGAGGCCTGTTCTGGGGTCACAGTTTGTTGCCTAAAATGCTCTTGTTTTCTTCAGCCTTGATGAGCAGCCTCTGTGCTTGTCTAAGGACAGGATTTAGCCATGTGTGGTTGCTTGATTGCAACAAACATATGGGGAAAATAGCTGAGAATGCTCAGATATTGAAACCATATGTTACTGCATGGGAAACTATGCCTTATTAAACAACAAAACAAAAACTGAGAATCCGGCTAGCAACAGTCAGTTCGAAGCTTTTGCTTGCAGAGGTTGATGGCACTCCTCTTAACAGAGTGAAAACTCTGAGATAGAACACAGTGTTTACAGCTCAGATCTGTTACTCCGTGAAAACACTCCTTTCCACTACAGAAAATTGCAAAAACTCGGTGTCTTCCAAAATTTTAAAAATCATTAAGAAGCATCCTGAGGTTTTTATAGATGCTTTTATAAAGACAAGCTACTTTAACTTTTTCCCAGCATCACATCATCTCCATCAGGAAAGGGAGCAAGTGAGGAGGTTGAGTGTATATTTGTGGAAAATTGGTCATGCAATTAAAGGCTAGAAATATTCTGATCCTGATAGTATTTTTAGTACAAATGATGCTAAGTCTCCGTGGCAGGCAATAGAGTCACATCCCTTTTCTTCTGGGTCACAGGTGAACCTCCCTCTCTATTGTGGTTTGTATCTAGAATGTGTTGCCAACCCTCAAGCACTCAGAAGAGCATACTGGGAGAGGCGACTGGATTACGGGGAGCTATGGCTGGCTTGCCCTTGGGAGCTGGGTCCTAGTTAGAGAGG